ATACGCTTAGTAATTTAAGTTATAGTATGAAAACTAGAACAAGCACAAAATGGTTACGAGGTCGGTTCCAGAGACCAAGCCTGTGCTGAAAGAGTTAATGGTTTTAAAACTTTAAAATTGCAAAAAAAGTCTACAATAGTTATTTGAAAACCATGTTTCACAAGAGTAAGATATATTCAATAATAAATGCAGAATCAAAAGCTTCATTCAGTAAAGTATATGTGGATTTTTCCATAAAAGTTAGTTGAATATAAAGATAATTAGTCTTAAAAAAATAATATATAATATTATTGATATAATATTTCTATCTGCTGTTATCACTGAGCCTTAATATGTATACTTATAATTAATAATAAAAGGCCTATTTGTAAATATACTTTACTCTTTTCATTTCAGTTTATTATTATAAATTTAATTTCTTTTTGATTTACAATCATATTCAATTCCTAAAAAAAATAATATAAAATTTTAAACTGTTGTTCTGTTGCCTTTGTAATAGATACAAAAAGTATTGCATTGTCCATTAACTCTCTCAATACGGGTTCAGTCAATTTGACTGAATATGTGACCTCTTTGTACTCATTCAAAGTCTTTATAGATTTGATATTACTAACTTTTAATATAGTGTGTATATCTTCACGATATTTGGCAGTCTTTCAGTAAACATTATAAGTCTTTCACATACAAAAAACTATTTTTTAGTGAAGTACTCTTAATAAATTAAAAAAAAGGGTTTGTCCTTGAACATAGAGTATTTGTTTTGAATAGTCCGTGTATAAAGTGATTTTCATGTTAAGATTAAAAATACTTTTCTTCATCTCAAAAATCTCAAATTTCATTTGTTTAATCTCTAAAACCTCCTAAATATATTTCAAATGTTTGTTTTCAGTAAAACTTTATATTTTATCTGTTATTTTCCAATGTTGGTCAATTTGGCTGACCTTGTAACCATTAAATAAAATCGAAATAAATCTAAATTACCCTTTTTTCTTTCTAAATTGACTTCAAGTATAACATAAAACTACATTCGTTTATCCTAAGTAGCTTTAAACTCTTAACAGAATACATCTATTTATACTTAAATTTTATTGTTTTATTGCCCTTTGAACTGTGTCTAACTACTATTCGTGCCATTATAAGATCTAAATCACTTGGAGAACATGGATCTCAAGTTACACTATCAATTTACCTTACCCACAAACTGCTCGCGTGTATGCCTGAAGAAAC